GATCTTAATTTATCATGGTTGCAAACATGATAACAACAAATGAACGAATGTCTCATTATTATATTGGTATTTGATACATTGTAGTTATGGATGTGATATATGGGTATCATTATCATGTTTGATTTGTAAACATTGCATATTTTTCGTGCAGAAAATATGAAAATTGATTCCTTCCTTCACAAATAATGTAAAATGTAAAGATGTGCTTGCTTTAATGATCAGTAGTCTTGTATATTTAAAGTTGGTTATTGGATTGTCTTTCTGTCCTTGTGACTCCAGTCATTCCACTGATGGTATTGCTAATTATCTCATTACATTCTGGGATTACAATTATAATTACAGACTGGATTTAACCTACGGGTCAACCCGCCTTCGTTACTTTATTCAATGAATTCAACGATTCAGGCCTTATCTGGTTTGAAATGTTTCAAGTTTGCGTCCAGACTATGGTATAAATGTATTCATTTGGTATCTCAAATTGGGCATTAATGGTGCAATGCTTCAACTAAATAATAGTTGTCAAAGTTAATTACACGAATAAACATTTTGTAATGGTTTAAAATTGTTGGTCTTATCTTGTTTATAATGAATACTAGTAACTAGGTTTAGAACATATTCTTCATTATTACCTTGCCGGGATGTTCTACAACAGTATACAGGTATCATAAAAGTCCGATAAAGAAAAGTGTGTTCAACTTGTTTAGTGAGCAAATACCGGTGTCAATGAAACATTGGTAATGTTTAGGTAAAGGCCTAAATTTCAAGACAAACAATAGAATTAGTACTTCCAAACTATGCGCCAGGCACGTATAGCTCAAAAGCAGTGAAGTTGTACGGGTTTCGTTAGTGTCGTAAACCGCTGAAATAAATTATGGAACAAAATTAACAATTTTGAAATCAAAGCTAAACGAAAGGCTTCATACGCCGGCCAATTTCTGGCGACGAGTGAGCTTATTACTTCATTCCCTTAATGAGCGAGGAGATTCGAATTAGTTGGGGATGTCCATGGCGTTTTAATCCAAACAGGGCCCTTCCGAGCTGGCTTAATCAGGAACGGGGACTGTTGTGAGCGAGGGGGGATTCCATTAGCGCTGGGGCTTTTGTTCTGGGTATGACAAGCCCATGGGCTTTGTTGTTCGACGTTGTCTTTTGTGCCATCTTCTCATAAATAACCGACATCTCATCGTGTGCTTATGTCTGTGTTGGCCTTCCTGTTAATGCCAGTAATATGCCGCCTTTGATATAGAAGTTATATGAATATCTTATTTTAGGCTGGGCAGTGGTAATAGGCTGTGTAATTGGGAATGAAGATGCACCTAAGACAACGTGTGAAAATAGATTTATGTAAGGTACGATTTTTGTACTTTCCAGGTGTGACGTATGATCGCATGTACTGTGATGTTGAAGGAAGATGTGTTTACAAAATGTTGCGTATGTTTCCGATGAGTTTGTAAAAAGACTAAATTGTCATTTTTGGTTCATGTGTGATAATTATGCAAAGTTTTTCCTAACAATATTAACTTGTGTGTTTTAATTAAGCGTAAACTGGTTTAGATGCAAAGAGAGCTTAATTCCACTGAAGTGAACTGAGGCTTAGAAATGCAATAAACACCCCCGTGAAATGTACACTACATTTGACGAGACTGTGTCTCTATCAGTGAAATGAACACGGCGAGATGTCAATAGCAATCCTGTTTACCTCAATTGGCCGAGATGTCCACCTAAAGTGCCAGCTCACTTACTAAGGACGCCATAATGAGCCCACTTCCCCGATAACTATTCATCATACTAATACATACGTGGTATTGGATTAGACTTGTCAATTTCATTATTGTGTTGTCAATAGCACAAGGGTGTAGACCTATCATCGCGAAGGATCTCGACAGGGCAAAATTGTCTCAATTGTGTTCGTGAAATACTTGTAATTTCCTTTCTGTTGAGAGACATGATTCGACGCTTTAAGCATGTTCCAATACAATCAATACGAAAACTAGTAGTTAGTTTCGTAAACCTTTGGATATATATCCCATTACTAGAATGAATTTAATATGTAATGATTTAGATACATAGTTTATGGAGATACAATTTTGTTCTATGATTGGTGTTGTAACTGAAAAACAAGAAATGTGCATGAAACGGGAACGGATAGTTACATTTACTATAATAATGGTATCGGCTGTCAGAAAACAAGTCAGATTCATATGTGATATGTAATATACACGGATAACACATGTCAATATGCCCGCGCATTCGTCAACTGAGGATATCTTATGTCACAAACATATCAGTCTTTGTTGTGAATTATCATAAAATAGGTGAGACACTTTTTATACCATACGTTTTGTGGAGGAAAAAGGCAACCCCATGCTCCAAAACACTAATTATTCGTCGATACATGCCCCATATACCAGCGGTCACCTATGTCGGTTATATCGAACACAGGTAAACATGTGTTTCGCAATTGAACATGCCTTCACGAAATAACCCTACCATGACACCATTTTGTAACATATTTAACATGAATGCTTTAACAACGATTGCACTGCTCAACTACATTTATTGAACGAAATCTATTTAGCCTTATTTGATTTGTGAGCATTAACACAGTGTCGAAACTATACGAAAAGCTAGTTTGAATTGGTTTTTACGTTTCCATTCCAACTTTCTCTATCTCATTTGCGTACATTTGCCTCTTGTTCCATTTCAAATACAATTGAGACATAAACAAATCAAAAGGGAAATTTTATTAACACAGTAATGACCCTGGCTTAAGTGAAAACGACAAGTTTACTCGGAAGGGCCATCGGTTTTGTCACTGAAATTGATTCATGTTGGCAAAATCCTCGTGATGTTTTCAACTTTCTGCATTTTTTCCTGTTTATCTTATTTCTCAGGGGAGTAAAAAATGACTTTTTTCTGACGAAATTCGACTCGACAAAATCCACACCAAAGGCACACTAATACAAACGTGAACGGAGAACTAAATTCCATTTCTTTGCTGTGAAACATTACTCCTTTTGGTACAATTACTCATTTCTGAATTCAACGTTTGGACGTTCACGAAGAAAAAGACATCTAGTAAACACTTATTAGATTTTTAAAAATCCCAAGTTACTCTAAAATGGCTACCTGAACAAGGGTATGTAAATCAATGTAATTTTATTGCATATTAATTCATACAGAAATGTAAGTGTCGGTAACCTAATGCCCTGTATTACGATAGTATATAATGAAATGAAAAATGCATGATCATGAATACATTATGAGTATCTTTCTTTCATAGGAATATTTTAAATATTAATATATCTCATCATTAAACCATATGTTTGTTATTATACATAATAATGGTGTTTTTCATAAGATAGGAAAACACGTGGTTACATTAGCAAACCTGCCGCACATTTATACGTGTGATCAATAATTTAATTGAACAGTTATAAAAACATCTGTAATTATTTGAAATTTGAAACTACATTAAACTCCTGGATTTCAATAGGTGTATTTTGAACTCATATTTAAACTATACGTTGAATTATCAATTTACTTCAACTCAAAAACATATATTTGATATTACATTGTACGAATTTTGGTACACATAAATAAACCCATTACAGCACTTCAGTTAATATTTTAAACAGACTTTTTACATCACGGTAATCACAATCATGAAATCGGTAAGATGTTTGAGTAAGAATTCTGCCCGTATTACTTACATAAAATAGACAACTGGTTTGCTGTAAGTAATCACTGTTTGCTTTCTATTTTACACCCAGTCATAAGTTATGATAGTTTGATTCCTTGTTATCATTAAACATGCTATGAAAGTGCCATAAATGTTGATGTGATGTGTCCTCATATTTAGGATTCTACTAAAATCCCATCAATAAAAAAACGACTTTAGAGGCGTTTAGTAGCCCGTGGATATAGACAGATAATAAATATGTTTAACTGTTAACGTTAACCCTCGAGTTTTGAAATCTACATCTCGACTGATGTATTACTTCTGAGTGCGATTCTAGATGTTTATCTGAAGGCAATCCTTAGTTACATAACTGCAGCATACCAGAGTTTTTGTTAAAGAAACAAGTTTTTACAGTTTGAAAAATGTGGTATTAATTTCCTGTTGTAACTAAGAGTTTAGAAATGTAATCAATAACTGAAATTGACACTGTGAAATACACCAACATGTCATATATCATATGTCATTTACTGTTCACTCATGAAGTTTATTGACATTAAATAACACCTCTTTTTTATAATAGACTCAATGAAAACTTTATGTGTCAATTTCATTCGAGTAAGGATATATGAAATGAGCTTGTCCTATGCCACATGTTTATATACAGGCAGACTGAAATTGACATTTTAATCATTCATGTAAGATCTCATTTACAAAATGTGAATGCACAACTATTATATTATTAAAAAATAGTATCAAGAGTTAGATGCTGTTTGCAAACGTACTTTGGATAATAATGCTTTTTTGCCTTTGTAATTGACATGATTTAGACTGAAATGTACATGGCCTGTTCAATCACTGTCCCTCAAGGCAGGTGAGATTGAAGGGACAGGTGGGAAACGATAAACGCACTCAAATAAAACTAATGATTCTTATGGGGTTCAGGTTATGACCATAGATCTCCCAGAAAAGAATGGCGTCCATTTCAAAATGTACACGGTTATACTTCTTTTGTATAGCTCGGTTTTAGCATTGTTAGGATTTGCTTTGACCTCAATCTGACTACAGATGCATTGACAATACTATAAACAATATGAACTACAATACGACAAGGATAATTGGGTGCTCATTCAAGTATTAACCGAGTGAAAAATTATACTAAAACTTTATTTCAAGTGTATGGTTAAGAGGGAAAATGTCCATTTTTTTCATATTCTGTGCTTAGGTATAACTTTTCCCATGTATCATTTATGGTTAATTAGAGCTGGCGTGACTTAATCTCAACTAACACAAAGAACGATATAGTTCTGTATATGCCTACCTTGAACTGAGGAATCGGACTGCCCGCTAGGACAGCTTAGAGGATCCCGGCCGGGTAAAGGGGGAAGGCCCGGCGTCATTTCGGGGTAGAAACCCCCGTTTGTATAGCTGGGCGGGTGGCCCGGTTGATAAACATCGCCGTATAATGGGGCATAGTTTCTCATGGGGAGCGAGTTCATAGATCCAAGAGATGATATCTGCATCTGACGACAATTGTTCAGATAATCTTGACTGGAGAAGGAATTGTACGGTCCTTTGGCACTGTTCATTGAAAAAGATGCTCCTAGCTGGTAGGTCGACATAGCGCAAGAATTATGAGCAAGAGCGGCGTCGTTGGAGTAATTTCCCCATCCGTTTTGGCCCGACACGGTAAGAGCTGATCGCGGTACAGAGTCTTGTGTCCCGGGGCTTGTGGGGAGGATCCCACTCGAAGTCACACTCGAGGGGTAAAACGACAGCCCCGAGTGCGCCAGGATGTTATTGGCTGGCTCCATCCTAGTTCATTCCACCTGCAATCGACAACATATTACGACATTTTTAGTCACGGTGCAAACAGTCGAAATCGCGCTGAAACTGACATGAAGTGCGCAATGTACAACTGAAATAGACATGCTACACGTCATCTGTGTCAAGGCGGAATGAAGGAACTTGTTTAATTACCATTAATCACATTCATTATGCACAAAGGTCATAACCGTGATGTAAGATACTCAAAACAGTGTCCCATAATATACATGGAAGCAAACTGGTTTAGTTTTGACATTTTAAGATGCCGATCAAGTCATTTATAACGCATTTCATACAATAAATAATATCACAGAACCGCAAATCAAAACTAAAACGATGTTAATTTGTAAGCAACTAATTATCCTTTATCACTGGAGAGCTCCCAGCAAAGGCCTCCCCAGTCGTCTCCCTTACATTGAAACTGACATGATAGAAACAGACATCCCAAATAAGAAATTGACAATAATATGCAACCTACAACATGAAATGAACATCATACCTACTCTGTATCGGTCTCGTACCGAAAGCTGAAGATAGCATTGGAAAACACGTGCTGTATATATCCTATTATACGATGAACATTCAGAACGACAGACTCTTTATATCACCAAAGCAACTATAGGACGGAGAGCTGTGCTATCTCATATGCATTAGACGGCGAGTACCATGTGACGTCAAGTAGCCAATGAAACGCGGTGTCTATTTCAATAGCAGTGTAGGAGCGCTCACCGATTTCCTGTAAACAACATCAGCCGCGATTAAAAAGCAGTAGAACTCACAGGCATTTGTGAAAGAATAATCGAACTAGGGGAATCTAAAAGAGCTTATGAACGAAACAAAATTTCCTATTAAAATAGCGCACTTGAGAGAGAATAGACCTGCAGTACGTGCCGAATCGTGCGAGCCAGCTAATTAAACAACCGGGTCGGTAGTGGAGCTCTAAGCCAATGAAATTGCATACTGAGTTGTCACGATGTGACTCCCGACACTGAGCTTATTTCGCTTTCTAGGGTACCGAGAGGAAAGCACAGGTCATAGACTTAAGTACAAGCATGTGATCCGTGATCGCTTGAATAAAATTACGGTATAAACATCAACATTTGATGTCTGAATGGCAAACATTCGTTGAAACTGATAACTGGTTCATTAATGACTGGCGCACTACCGTAACCCTAAGTGTTTGAAATACTCCAGAGAGACGATACACAGCTCGGGGCACATAACTATGGGGTAAAAAATAGTGAAAAAGCCACATTAAATTTCATTTGATGTCATTTCACATTTTCCTATGAAAGAGAAAAGCTTAATAGATATCTCATAGTGGGGCATTTAACCCTAAAAAATTCCAAAAGAAAGGCATTTCTTGTTTGGCGGAGGGGCGATCCCTCGGCCATGCGTTGGCTTATTTTATTGGCTCGCGACTACAAGTTATCTCCGCATTTACTGCATATAAACGGCTAACAATTCACTCACTGGTTCAAGTTTTATTTTATTCGCTCAACACCTATTGTGGGCTGTGTGCAATTTATACCCTACTAACTATTTAATAAGATAGGACATTTGTCTAAAATATCACTTCACTGGGTTTTTATCATTCGTTTATATTCGGAAATTTGTAACGAGCCAGTGACGGACTGTGAAATATGCTAGATCGTGAATTTTACCCTACCGTTGCAGAAGCAAATCAAGGCGGAATGCATGTCAAATGACATTTTTGATTGTGTGTTTTTTATTTGTGTGTGTGAAAGGAACTATAACCCAGTTCATCAGTTTGAGTAGAAGCCCATCAGGTGTTGTGGGTCTTTGTACTTGTTCGTCAACCATGTTGATCTGTTCATGTGTATCAAGAAAAACAAGTATTTTATCAACAAGACGAAAATATTGATTCCGACGCAAATATGAAAAGTATTAACTTTACATTAAGCGATCTTCTGAACAGATGATGATAAAACGTACACCCCAATCTGCATCTCAACCACCCAAAAAGTAAACATGTCTTCTAAAAAACAAGTTAAATTTATGTTGAAGGCATCATATTACTGTCAGATCAAAGGTCCAAACTTTACAGCCAACCACGAATATTTGAATGCAGCAACAACCAAGAAATGATATCAGGTTTCAAATCGATTGACAAGGATGTGCTGGTCTGAACAAAATACCAATACAATAATAGTATAAATTTAACATTTGACAACGAATATTTAAATACACAAGTCAAACATTATTGTTACGAAATCTGAAACCCATTGTTATATTTTCATCACTATGTTTAATTGATTCGTATGTTACACTCACGTGCAATAAACATGTCAAATCAACCTTGTTTATATGATATCACATGCGCCCGTTCATCACTATAAACGCTTATATCATTCACGACCCGTTAGAAAAATAGGATTCATTTGTCATTGCTATGTATTCAATGATTCATTGCTATGTATTCAATGGTGATTTAGTTCCGTATCTTTTGTTTCATTTATAAAACAAACATTTGTTCTTGAATTTAAAAACAAACTATTCGATCGTTTTAACAGCAATGCATTTGATATGAAAATATCACATAATGTAGATTTTTCCACTAACTGTTGGAATACATAAACTGAATTTAATTAATATTTGTTTAGTTAAACGTAAATAATCATAGGTTATGAAGATAAAGTATCATAAATTATGAGTAGACCAAGAAGGTCGCGTATTGTTGAAAGTAAATACCATAATCACTCGTAAATCTTTATAACGTCGTTTACAAGGCCTGGTCTTGTCTCAAGGAGCATAAACTGTACATTACATTTCACAATTCGTGCAATATCATAAATTTTGAAATCGCGCCCTCTGTTGTTAGACGACCAAAGGGAGCTAACTCCGTGTTATCAACGATGAATATCATAAATAACATGAAAGTGGCGTCTTTTTTGTTGTTATAGTTGATATAGAACCGAAGTGTTGTTAATGTTACGGTTTTAGACATTTAAAAGAAAAAGCGAAATCAGCATCGATTGTGAGGTTATATCAATTATTAAATACATTGACAGCTCGCTCATATTGACAAAAGAGTGCTCGTTTCAAAACAAAACAAATAGATTGCAGAATGATTTATCACAAGGCTCCTAAGTTCATTTGTGTCAGTAGAGAGTATGGCGCGAAAACGTTAACTTGCCATCGATGGTAATCGAGGGTCAGTACAGCGACATATTTCCATCAAAGATACGCATCTTGTTCAATTTAGTATAATGTTTATGAGAATTAGGAATAAATCCGCTGAATTATTACGAGGGTCAAGATACTTTCTTGTCACAGATGTTTTCGAAACAAGACTTATCGTTTCATTTTTCTCAAACCATATTTTGTCGAAAAATCACAGATAAAACTGTGAACACAGACACAACAAAATTCGCTGATGAACTTATCCAAGGGGTTTTCAATGGTCAAAGAAGGCAACGTTGTCCTAAATATGGACCGTGTCTATCCAAATCCATCGATTAATTTTGCGCATCGGTCATAAATCAAATCTACGAGGCTGCAAAATATGTTAACTGCAACAGAAATCATTGCCGAGAAAAAATCGAAAATCTACACGATGTATCATTTCATTAAACAAAGCCAATGATGTCTCACAAAACACAGAATATTTTATTATACAGTTACGAGATATTTTATTGTCTTTGAAGTAACAAATATATACACTAATGATGACGATTATTACCTTCGTGGCCAACCTAAGAAACGAAGCCATTAAATACTAAAATATAAATCTCAGCAGTCGATGCGAATTATACAAATAATAAGTTTAAATGACGTTGAAGAAATAAACTTTGACCCAAAATATTATCACGTGACAATATGAAAGGGATGAGATGTCACTCCGAAGAATGATGTAGTAGCACACGAGCCCAGAAAATGAAACACGGGATTCTTCAACAGTACTTTAAAATATCGTTATAATTTTCTTTACGCTAATTGGCACTGTAACCAAACTGCTCTCGGACTCATTACATATAATTAGAGAAACTAATTATAATGTACGAACGGATGGGCACCACAGTGTATCATATATGCCTCGTTTATAGGATGTCCAAGAATACAGAACTATTTATATAACGGTTAACCCGTCATGAACGATGTCAAAATCAGCCGGGTATGTATGTAAAACCATGTACACATGTAAAAGAAACTCTCGGCATCACTCATTGAGGTGGTTTTGATAACGGGAGATTTAAATACGCGGTTTCAATAGAATTAAAAGTTAATGCTAAACATGCGCTGTGAGTTTGAAGGTGACTGCTCAATTTCCTAAACATCAGGAATCTTTGAAACGTTTCATACCAAAACCCGTATTTTATGTTTACATCATACACATTGGAACATAATTGTACTAATAATTTTCAAAATTCATTAGATTTGTATGCTTTATATTGTTAAAGAGAATTCTTTAATACCGCTTAACAATTAAACGAGTTTGGTATTTTATCGCCGAAAAAGATCTGTCATTTATTAAGGATCATAGAAGTATATAGTTGACAATTGTAACTTTTTAAACAAGACAGTAAAAGGTGAATATGATGGGACACGTAAGTACCTCAAAGCCCAGAGTACTAACCTGATATATATGTATATTGATTGTAGACCATTTGTATTCTACCAGAGATCACTGTATAGCGGCAATAGACATCGCATCACGGTTGTCACACGTATAAAATAACAATGAAATGAAACGTTATGGCCATAAACTACATGTAATTGACAATAGTAAAGTGTCAATCATATTATATCACGTGACATTCATGTCGCGCTACTCTACAGGACTGGCGTATCCTGAGGGGAAAACACTGATGAAATGAACATACTCTAACTTGTAATTTAGTCTACGAGGCATTTATGGTCAGTGGTTTGATATATACGTACTTAATCACTAAGTACCCTTACAGATTTTGTCCATTTGCATTGTTCTGCTATAGAAATCGCTATCTTTAACCAGTAAGGGACCTAACGCTGGGCAAATTGTCATTCAATTAACCCATCCGTGATTAGGGAGTCGTTGAATTATGACAACAGGCAACAGGCGCGGGGACAGATATGTACAAATGACCTAAAGATTACACAGGACGCGCCGGGAACTTGAAAATGCGATACATGTAATTTTCAGATATTTGAATAAAGTTGCGCAAATGATTACGGTCCGGACCAAACTTGGCGCTTTCAAACTCAACCCGTACGTATGATGTTTAGTTGAAATTTGATCTTTGTTTCAAAGAGAGCCTTTGCTTGTTGTAATAAAAGAATTTTCTCACATGTCAACAGAACAGAAAATAATGAGAAGGTTACATTTCAAAACGTTCGAAA